TCCCTCCTGCAGTGCCCCCCATGTCCCTGGGGTGACACCAGAGTGGCCAAACCCCTTCCAGCTCCTGTCCCCGTGCCATTCCCCTCATCACACCTCCCAGACATTGTCCCCACATGCTCTCCTGTCCCCCCAGTGCTGTTCCCTGCCCCTCACCCTGTCCCTGTCCCCCCAGCCGAGGTCCAGAGTGAGACTGAGCGCATCTTCGAGCTGGCACGGACACTGCAGCTGGTGGCCCTGGACGCTGACACCATCAACCACCCAGCGCAGCTGGCCAAGACCTCCCTGGCCCCCATCATCGTCTACATCAAAATCACCTCCCCCAAGGTGGGTGCAGGCCCTGGGGGGCAGCCACAGTGCCCACCCTGCCGTGCTGGGAGGGCCAGGCAGAGTCCAGCTGTGTCCCCACGGCCACCCCAGGCTGTCCCTCCTGCCCCAGGTGCTGCAGAGGCTGGTGAAGTCCCGGGGCAAGTCCCAGGCAAAGCATCTCAACGTGCAGATGGTGGCCTCAGACAAGCTGGCTCAGTGTCCACCTGTGAGTGACCTCACCCTGCCCACCTGCCCCCTACCCACTGCCCACCCTCTGCTACCACCCTATGGCCATGGGCTCCATGTGAGCTAAATGACAGTTACCACCTCATTGATGGCAGATGTCCCCAGGGCCACAGGTTCCTCCCACCACCTCAGCTTGGACCACAGACTGAGGTGTCCCATAGATCCCTCCCTGTCCCATTGGCCCTGACCTGTCCTATAGGCTCCACCCTGGATTCTATAGGCTCCTCCCTTTCCCATAGGCTCTGCCCTGAGTCCAGATACTCCATCCTTTCCCATCGGTCCCAAGTTATCCTATTGACTCTACCCTATGTCCAGAAGCCCTGCCCTGTCCCAATGGTCCCACCCTTTCCCACTGGCTCTGACCAGCCCATAGACTCCATCCTGTATCCATAAATCCTACCCTGTCCCATCGACCCTGCCCTTTCCCAGTGGTCCCACCCTATCCCATCGACCCTGCCCTAACCATAGGCTCCACCCTGTATCCATAAATCCCACCCTGTCCCATTGACCCTACCCTTTCCCAGTGGTCCCACACAGTTCTGCTGGTCCCACCCTGTCCCATTGCCCCTGCCCTAACCATAGGCTCCACCCTGTATCCGTAAATCCCACCCTATCCCATCGACTCTTCCCTTTCCCAATGATCCCACCCTCTATCCATAAATCCCACCCTGTCCGATGGACCCTGCCCTTTCCTAGTGGTCCCACACTGTCCCACTGGTCCCACCCTATCCCATTGACCACACCCTGACCATAGGCTCCTCCTGGCATCCATAAATCCCACCCTATACCACTGACCCTTCCCTTTCCCAATGGTCCCACCCTGTCCCATTGGTCCCACCCTGTATCCATAAATCCCACTCTATCCCACTGACCCTTCCCTTTCCCAATGGTCCCACTCTGTATCCATAAATCACACCCTGTCCCACTGCCCCT